CAGATGAAGCCCTTTTAGACTTGCTATCCGCTTCTGCTTTATGTTGCACAGACACCTTGATTGTTGGTGACTTCAACTTACCCATCAAATACTCTCAAGAGTTTCAATGCCCGAACAGCTTAAATGTTAAGAAATTTTTTGACCTCTTTGAAAGATTGCAATTGCAGCAGTTTGTGACGGAGCCGACACGTAATGATGCTATACTGGATTTGGTTTTAGCAGGTGTCCGTTCCATCTCTAACTTATTCCTTAGAGCTCCCTTTGTCACTTCCGATCATAATATGATCGATTTTCGATATGAATTCGCCTCTCCAAAATGCGACCTTATACCAAGACCAAATTTTAATAAGATTGATTTTGCTTCATTGAAAAAAGAGCTTAATGAAGTTAACTGGGAAAAATGCTTTGATCTTTATAGCAGTTCATCGGAAGTGTACTACAGGTTTTCCTGTGTCCTATATGAGCTCTTAGGAAGATTTACCCCATTTGAGACTCGCAAAATTGGATATCTAAAATACCCGCATCATCTCCAGTCACTCCTGCTGCAAAAAGAACGGCTGTTCAAGGCATTTCGATCTGATAGTCCGCTATACAAGAAAGTCTGTTGCGATATTGCATTCCACCTCAAGAAGTTCCTTGCTAATTATGAGAGACGCTTGGCTCTGTCAAAGCACTCACGGAGTCTTTTTGCGTATATCCACAGTAAAACTCATATCAAAGAATTTGGTGCTTTGAAAGATAAATCGGATAATGTATGCCTAACTAATCAATCCAAAGCTCAAGCGTTAGGTGCTTTCTTTGCGAGCACATTTACTACGACTTCTTCTTCAACAGTATCTCTTGGGGCGCCTGTGGCGCATATATGCTCAGCTCCGATTATCATGCCTTTTACGGTAGAACGCTATCTCAAAAGTCTCAAAAATTCAACTTTTGAAACTTTTGACGGAATCCCACAGATAGTATTCAAGCGATGTGCTAAAGAACTTGCTACTCCACTCTCCCACATCTTTAACATCTCCCTCATGTGTGGTGAGGTACCAAGTATCTGGAAAGAAGCTATTGTCACAGCCGTTCCAAAAGTCAGTAAACCTCAAGTGGTTTCTGACTTCAGACCTATTAGCATCAATCCCGTCCCATGCAAAGTTTTGGAAAAAATAATTCGTGATAAACTTTTGGAGTGGTTCGAAAGATTCAAAATTATTCCCCCAGAGCAACACGGCTTTGTTAATGGTGCTTCTACTGTTACCCAGTTGATCGATTCAATTCATGATTGGGTCAATGCTATCTTGTTGGGACAGAAAGTGGACGTTATCTACTTTGATCTTTCCAAAGCGTTTGATCGTATAAGTCATGCTAAATTGCTGTACAAAGTTGAGCATTATGGGGTCAGAGGCGCCTTACTTGATTGGCTCAAGTCATATCTCCAATCTAGACATATGACTGTCCGCGTTGGGAATGAACACTCTGAGCGTTTTCCTTGCGTTAGTGGGCTTCCTCAGGGAGGTGTTCTGTCTCCCCTTCTATTTACGGTCTATACTGCTGATTTACCCCAGCTGTTAAAAACCCACCCCGGAATTCATGTACTTATGTATGCAGGCGACATAAAAATATACGGAATGTACAGCAAAGAAAATCGCTATGAGATCCAAGAAGCTTTGCAACATTCTATTGATCTCATGATTGCCAGGTGTACAAAGTGGGATATTTCTGTTAACATTGCTAAAAGTTCCGTTTTTCACATCGGTGGCGAAGAACAAGTGCATTATCAGCACAATGGAATAGCACTGATTAACAAAACATTCGTCAAAGATCTGGGAGTTCTGATAGATTCGAGATTGAAACCGGATCTACAGATCGCCTCCGTCACCTCCCGTGCTTTTTCCATCTTATACACAATCTTTAGAAACATCAAATCAACTGATCACAAAATTTTGTTGAGACTTTATAAAGCCCTTGTTATTCCTGTCCTCGAATATGCGACTCAAGTTTGGAGCCCCTCCCTGAGGAAGCACAAGCAGGCATTGGAGAAGGTTCAAAAAGTGTTCACAAAACTGCTTTTCTACCGCTGTTTTCCTAATCCAGCTTACCCCCGATTACTTCCTAGTTATGAAGAGAGGTTGAAAATTCTTGATCTTGAAAGCATTACATATCGGAGAGTTGTTCATGATATCATATTAGCTTTCAGGATTTTTAGGGGTGAAACCAGGTTGAGGCCTTCCAAGTACTGGGTTTTCAGACCTAGCCATGGAAGGACTAGTGCATTCTCTATTTATTTCCGTCACTTTGGTGGGCGACAACGATTTCGTTCCTTATTTGAGCAGGAGTTTTTTGTTCGCACATCAAAAATGTTACAAGAATTACCACACGAACTTTTGGCATGCAGTGATAGTTCCTCTTTCAGAAGAGAGCTTAAAAAAAGAAGATTGAATGACTTTTTTGCAGGTTCAACGTACCTTACTTCCCTTCTTTTATGACTGCGCGGTTACAACCAGGCATGTGCAATGAGCATGATTGGGTTACGAATATGCACTGACTAGCAGCCAATTTATAACTTTGCATATGTTAAACTCAACTGCTTTTGAGCCTTTTACTAACACTGTTCTCTTCATCATGTGGTTCAAGCCTGGTCACATCTATATTTTAGCCTGTTTCGCACAGCTTGCTTGCTTTGATTGCTTGAAGATCATATTATGCTTATTCTTGCTTTGGAGTTGGGCTCTCCTCGGCAAACTGGTTGAACTATAAATTCCGGTTTGTTTCTTGGAAATCTTTTGAGATCGTGGCTAGCAAACGAAGGGGCATGGGTACCATCTCCTTAGATAACAATTTGTTTAGATTCATTCGTTGTGCAGTACTTGACGATATTCTGTTTGCACATATGGCAATGCTCATGGAGTTTTGGGCTCTCTCCGGCAGGCCGGTGGGTATGTACCCGCCGTCGTTTGCTTGTTTGAATACTTTAAGATCGTTTGCTGGCTAACGCGGGGGCATGGGTTCCATCTCTGTGGATATAACTCATCATTGACATTCGTAATATCCAGCAGTCTTCTTGCAAGCTAAGTCGTTATTCTTTAGTTTTATGAAGTCTGGGCCTGAAGCATATGATGTTCTGTTGTTATTCGTGCTTTGTGTAAAACTAACAATTACACTGTTTGTTTCTGTTTTTTTTTATGGTACGCCTTGAGCGTATTTAATGAAAATGAAATGAAAGATTTTTACTCATCTAAAAAGGGAAGGTCACAAAACCCATGCCTGGCTTTTTCGCCTTTTCTGTGACGTTTTCAAGCTTTTTTGAGCATGCTCAAAAATTGCAAAAGTGAAGAAATTCTCCTTATTTGCTTCTAACTCCCGATCTATTCCGTTTTAATTCATGAAAAAGATACCACTGTAATGTGCAAAATTTTCTCTATCAAATAAAAATAATTTCGGATTTTTTCATGATCCAGCTTGAAAATTGTCGATGTTGACTAATTTCCTTTGAAGGCAGTGGACAGGCAGATTTCCACCCTTCGTTTTTCTGCATTATTTTGGCTATTTTGACCCCCCAAATCACTATATGTAGCCCGCCTGGCATAAATTTGACGAAAACCCCGTGTTTGATGACCCCCTCCTTGCGATACGGGGACGAGATAGCGGCTTGTGTCTGCCGTCAGAGACGCAGAGTGTACAGATTGTAGTTTGGTATGACGCAGCAATTTATTCGATTTGAAATGTGTCTTTGTCATCATTTCTTCTACATTCTTTTCGCTGTTGATAGATTGAGGTGAAGTTGGTTACAATCTATGCATATTTTCAGGATACCTAACATCCCGGTGGAGTTCGTCGTCTAATGGGCAATAAATTACATCTAAAAATGAGAAGCAGTGACGAATCTTTGTTTGAAGGTAGGATTGCATGGAAATGGCAAATATCTGAGCTTCAAGTTTTAGATTTGAAGCATGAATGTTTCCTTTCCATGTTGACTCCCACTAGACTAGATTAGCCTTGTCTTTCGGGCCTATTATTCTTATTAGAATGAACGACCCACACTCTTCCTTTCGGAGATTTGATGGATTTCGTTTTTGTTAGCGGTTTTTCCCACTTGTGATACACAGAATAGTCGTCTTTTACGTACTTATCGTTCATTCTAATAAGAATAATAGGCCCGAAAGACAAGGCTAATCTATAGACAAAAACTTGTTTATTCCTCAGTTTGGATATTCCATCTCAGACAAAAGAACTCATAAGTTCAGCTTGTAGGAACAGCATAATGAAAGTATTTTCCAGTATCTGCATTCTGAATGGGTTATGGCTGAGGCTGACACGCTCATTTCTCCGTCGGTTTTGCGGAAATCGGTCGACTCTAATTTTTCACAGCTAATATGTTGGAGATCACTCGCAAATTTTACATTTTCAGAAAGGCTACAAATGGAAGTGAGTTTGTCTTTTGCATATATCGTTACAGTAACCATATGCCAGCTGTTTTAGTAAACAATGCTGCGAAACTAGTAGGATGCGTAAGCATAGTCGAAGAGAAAGTTCTTTTTTTTGCTACGTTATTTGTCTAGGTAGGTTTCTTGCTTTTTTCGTTTTTCTTTTGCTGGCCAACAACATGATTGCAGGTCTCCCACCACAATGACGAGCCAACTTGACGTCCTGTGTATGTAGAGAGACGTGTCGAATAATCCGGAATTTTTCAATGTGTATGTAACGAAGCTGTCGATGTTGCTCATTCGTACGTGCAAATTGCTGTTCTTCTGTCTTTTCCTATTTTCTGCAAAGGACGTTGTTCTCATTCCCTTTTTTGTTTTTCATGAATATGCTCAATCGTCTGTGCAAATTACCGTTCTTCTGCCCTCATAACTATGTACTTTGAAAAGGACATTGTTCTCATCCATCTTTGTTTTTCGCGATTAGTGTGTGTAACTGTCATTTGCTATCATTGTAACTTTCATTACCACCCCAATATGTTGCTGCTCGTATTATGTTCAGTTCTTACTGCAGTTTTTGATGGCAGTGCTCAGAAATTTTGATAAATGTGAGAAGTGTCGCCCTAATCTCGCTAAGAAAGTGCTCGTTATTAGGAATTCGTTTTGTTACAGACTAGCTATGCTGTGTGAACGCTAACAATCATGGACCTGACGCTAACAGCCATGGACTTCCACGAAAAAAAGTGAGTGTCTTCGATAGTTTTCTGCTTTTGCTTTTATTGCACTTACATTTTTTTCATTTACATATATGTTGCCACTTTTTTTACTTCTGTTTCCCTTCTCTTTTATATGTGCATCTCTTCTCTTCCCCGTCTACTCTGGTGTCTCATCCGCCGGGTCAGTCTCTTCAGGATCTCTCCCCTTGCGTGAACGGCGAGTGACGAACGAGATAAAGATTTCTTTTCTCCATAAATGTTCCACAGGGGTTTTGTGCCGGAGCTCAGTGTCATACTCGTTGAACTTCCGACGGATTCTGTCGCGCCTTTCAACTACCCTTTCCCCTTTCAACTCTGCCTCTGTCAACGCGTTTAGATGCATAGTCGACATCGACACATAGAGGTAGTAGGTTTGCGGCGGTCTGAAAAGTAGGTTGAATCGGTGCTACTTGTTATCATAAAAACAATACAGGCCTCCTTACAGGAAAAGATTTTTTGGGCAGTATAATCTGTCCAAAGCGTTCTTGGTCTCGCACTGGCTAGTTCCACTCAGAGAACTTTCACTCGATATCCTTTTGGAAGACCCGGTTGAGTAGAATCTCGCGCAGTTTTTCGTGGGCTGGGCTTCCCAAGGGTATTATGGGCTTCCTACCTTCTCCATCAACTTCAAGCGCGTCGTGGGAACATCTCCTAATGGGCCCGGTGATGTCAGCCTATAATAAATTTTTATGCGGTGTTAGATGACGTATAGTGTTACCTCATCCCATTCGTGTTTGTCGGCCACGTGATTTAGGCAACTATTGAACAAGTACTTTGCGTAGTTGCCATCACCGGCAAGCGCTCCTTGTTCAACGGCATAATATAAGTGTTTTTTATGGCTCTTATCCAGTCCTTGATCACCATGTAGACCCTTCTCTTCGCAACCTTGATTCGAATGATTGGTTTTTGTCGACAGATCCCGGTTGCTTACCGCGTGAAGATTTTTGTCGAGGTATCTGGCCAGATGCCACCTATCCAGCTTCCACTCGATGGTCTCCCCATATTCATTCTTGTACGACTTGATCTCCTTCCCAAACACTGCGCTGCGGTCGGTTGCTACCGAACGGATGGGTATTTCCCTTGACTTGAACCACCGCAGCATTCTGCGGAAGCCCTCCTTTTCCATTCTTTGACTGATGTTATCTGCAAAAGAAAACTCGGGAATGATTGTGTCGGCTTTTCTACCTACCTGTCTCTGAGCGTTCTAGGACTTCCGTGTGTATGCAGAGTTTGGTCCTGAGATCCACAGCCAGTACCTTGCAAAGCTCTGCACTGTGGCCTCTCGAGTCATACGCGCCGTCTACGGCAATATCCCACGGATCGTTCTGAGTTAGTTTCAAAAGATTTCAGTTATTTTTCTTGTTGTTTTTACACCTGGTAGACCGCCCTTATCTCATCAATGATGCGGTTCGGGTGCCTTTCGTAGACGGCCGCGATGCACGGCGTTACTTCTTCAAACCGATCTTTGTACGTGGACATAGATGATAGGACTAGCCCCATTTCTGAAGCCCACTGCCGCAACTTCTGAAATTTTTGTTTAGAGTTGAGGCGACCGGGAAATGATATCTTTTTTTACATTCATGCGGACTCCCGTAGTTGTAGCCGCGATACACGCCAACGCGTTGCCGGTGTAGAGCTTGTCGATACGACCTGGGCTGATCTTTTCCTGCCCTTCCCATCTCTTGATTTGTGGCTTTATGCCCTTGGTGACGTATTGAATGATGGGAGTGGAACCGTTTATCGACAGGCGAACCCCGGTTTCACTAATCTCACAGTCGCATCGAGTGAGGAAAAACAGCTCTAGGAGCTTCCTTCCTTGCACCACGAAGTACTTATCCAGTAGCTCCAAATCGGTTTCTTTGAGAAGCTGATCTTCACTCTCGTATCCGGACAGTTTTTGTGGTGTGTAACAGGAGCCGCTCTGAAACACCAATCTACTCATTTCTTCCATGTTGGCCTGTGAACGAGACGATCTTGGGTTTATTTGCGCTAACCGATGCTTTTTGAGGAGATGTGGAAGTTGTCTGTTTGGACGGTGTGTTGTAGCCTTCACCAGCGATGGGCGCTGTATTGGTATCCATTTGCATATTCTCAACTACTGCACTGCTTCTTGGCTCCACCGCTCTCTAAACATTTATTTATCTGCTTGTCGTCTTATTTGACGGGACGCTTTGTGTAGCTGCTTTTTCATTTTTCCTCTATAATTTCGTGCTAATTTTCGCCTGACTTTTCATCAGCATGAAAATTAGCATTTTTGGGCTTTGCTACTTCGAAAGTGTGCATCACACAAAGCGCGCTCGAGTGGTGGCGGTTGCATATGTTGCATTTACCCACTTGCACTTCGGTCTGCTCTTCGTCTGCTTCGAATCCTTGCAGGTTGTTCCACCTACCCTCCTTGCTATAGTATCTTTTCATGTAGAAATTTACATACTTTCCTACATCCGGGGCGGCAATAGTGATGTTATCCTGGCAATTTTCATATGAACAACTGGAAACATGAACGATTTCAAGACTAACTTCTCTTGCAATTGTTCTGATTGCGGTGTTCAAGCTGCTTGGAATCTGCGCAGGAATGTCTCCGTCATTGACGTAAGCGATACCTTCGGCCGTTTTTGACAAACCTCCACCGCTTACAACAATCTCTGCTAAGAGATATTGTGCCTACATGATAGAGAATTAGTTTGTCACTGATTTGCGGAGCTGCACTCACAGTATTAAGGAAGTGACTGATGCATACATATCTTCCTTTGATGTCAAAACCTTCATAACAGTTCCTCAGTACTTCTTGCGTGGTCGATGTGAAAAGCTTGAGGAGAGAAAGGAAAATTCTGTTATGCACTTTGACATGTGACGTGCGTGTCGCAAAACAGGTCTTGATTCTGCTTCCACAAAGGAAGCAAAGACACGTATTCGCCTTTACCATAGTTGAAACTTGTAGCCTGAAGTTTCTTACATTCTCAGCTTGTACAACTTTTCTATTTCGAAATATCACGCCAAAGTCTGGAAATCATCACCATACAATTAATAAATTTGAAGTATTTATATATTTTTATTTCTGCTGTGATTGGTTTGGAGATGTAATTTATCTATCTCGCTTGTTTTCAGAAGGCTTCCGATCTTGGAGAGGTTGGCGTCAGCTGTAGAACGTTCCCTGGAATGCGGTCCTCATTGTTTTCATCGTTTTCGTCATGTCAGTCTCAATCATTGTTGCTATCCATTTCCCGCAAGCAATTCGACCCTATAGTTTTTCGTAACCCGAAAGTCATATTTTATTCCACACGCTGTTTCAAGACTTGGCTGTTGACTTATCATGTTGTGCTACGTTTACAATGTTCATCCCACGTGTAATTCGCATTTGACAACTACGGTAAATGAGCCCCGGTGCACCGGGCATGTTGTTATCTTTTGTCTTTGTCTTTGATAAACACATAATTGGCAATCAGTTTATTTTGTAATCTTAAATTTTCCACAACAACAGTGAAAAAAGTTCGTAGCAACTGCGAATCTTGGGGATGCCATGACATGCACAATTATTTTTGATTCAACTGGCCGCATCAAAAAACATGGCGAAGTAAATGAGATTGCTGAGCATCAAAAGAAACGGTCGAATAAATAGAAGCAACAACGTAGAAGAGAACTTTGAAGGCATGCCAAGCAGAAAACAGAAATGTAGTAAGCAATAGAACATGCGTATCAACCAAATATTTGAGCGATCCATATATAAGGCGATCGATTCGGATAAGCAGCAATGGGTTCCGACTGTTATTTCTACTTGCGAGGAAATCCTAAAAACAAAATCTAAGGGCTTATTAAACCCGAGCGAACACTGATGTGATAACTTACTGTCAAAAATTTGAGCGAAAGGTCTGCCAACAAGAGTTCATGTGACTGTGAACAAGAAAGAGCCCTTTTTCTCTTTTTAGCATAATGTGAACATCTAAAAACAAAAAATCTAAGCCTTTGGTGGATTCTAGTTGGTGTGAGAGTATTAGCAGACAAATGTGAAATAGACTAACTGTGTCCAGGCCTGTAATTTCCACCTTATTCCTCCTTATTCGAACTTCAGGCCTCTTGCGGGGAAGCGACAACATTGACGAACTTGCAATAGCAACAATAACCTGAAACATTCATTATAATTACATTCGTGGTTTACAATTGAGTACCTCGTATTCACTTAATTCAACAAACACAAACGAACAAACAAACAAACAAACACATACAGACACACACACGCACACATACACATACAAATACACATACACTACACAAACACATACACATACACATACACATACACATACACATACCATACACATACACAAACACATACACATACACATACACAAACACATGCACATACACATACACATACACATACACATACACATACACAAACACATACACATACACACACAAATTAGATTATAAATGCTTACTATAGATGAACACAATCTCACATTAGAACATACAGCAACATAAAATAGAAAACCACACACATAATGACTGAAAACAACCTATACTACAATAGAAGTAAGGCGAAACAGCCATAATGCACCCATCATATCACTACTAACTATTTATTACCTTGTGAATATTGCACGAAGGAACACGATTTACATATGTGCGAGTGAGCAGGGAGAGGGGGTCCATACAAACACAAGCAGGACGAGAACACTAAATACAAATAAGCTAAGGTTTCAGAGATCCTCACTAGAACGGAGAAAACAGCAAGAGGACGACGCTAATGTATTCAAGTGGAAGAACTTGCCTTGTAGTAGTGCCAGAGCTACTATTCAAGTGAGCAACACTGGAAACAAGGCCGTTACGCATCTGTTGTACAATGAGAACACCTGAAAATACAAAAAAATCTTCAAATACTGTCGAAAAACATGAAATCTCTGCAAATATTTCACCAAGCACCGTTATTGATTGGGTGCCTACGAAGCTCCACGTTACGCGCGCTCTTCGTATGCCGTTCAATTGCGCACTTTGGGGAAATCAGTGAAGGGGCGTGCCAGGTGGAGTGGGTGTTTTAGGTGGACTTTTCGGACGTGCTTTCTTGTGTTAGTGTGCGTATTCGCGAATGGGGGGTGGACTTGCGGGCTTCTTAGGGGGACTACTATCGGACGCCATCTCATTGAAATATATATTGAAATATATTGAAATCTCATGAAGGCTCATTTTGCCTGTCCACTGCCTTTAATTGCGTTTAACTCTCGAACTTACCAATGCTAATTCATGACAAAGGCACCTCTATTAAGAGAAAGGTTTCCTCTTTCATACAAAAATAATTTTGAGAAAAATCGTTGAGAAGAAAGGGAGTTATGATTTTTAATCTGGCGCAAGAACTTTTGCACCCACCTAATATATAAATGAAGGAGATAGAAGCTCAAAACCAAAATCACTCAAAATTTGAATTTTTCGTATAGGAAAAAAATCGGGAACTTGCAACAAAAATCGGGGCAGTCAGTATCGTAAGTTCTTCCACAAGCTCTTTCTAACAGTGCAAAGTTTGTGCTGATTGACCGTTTCTGTGAAAAGTTATGAATTCCCTGAAAAATGCCATAATAAATCAAATTTGCCCTTTTGTATTGCTTGCTCGAAAATCATAACTTTTCATAGAGACGCTCAATCGACGCAAACTTTGCACTGTTGGAAAGAGCTAGTAAAAGAACCTACAATACCGACTGCTCCGATTTTTGTTGCAGGTTTCCGATTTTTTATGACCCTACACGAAAATTCAAATTTTGAGTGATTTTTGGTTTTGAGCTTTTATCTCCTTCATTTGTATATGTTGTGTCATCAACTTCGGACACTTCGACTTTTCGTCCTGGAGGGCACAGAAGGAAGCAAATAGATTTATTAGACAAATAATAGAGAAGAATAAGTATGAGGCGAATGATGAAAATTGAACTGAACTGTAGAACTGACTGAGGCTATGAGTGAGCGCCTTGTATGGCGCTCATTTCCCGCACACTCTGAGGCTAAGATCGAATGCGCGAGGGCAGATCACTACGAGGAAAACAGCTGATCATTGAGAATCACTGACATAACACCTCCCCCAGTAGGGTAGTTAAAGCAAAACTAGCCTACGACAAAAGCTTGAACTACAAATATGAACAGTTAAGAAATAGGTCATACATAGACGTCACTATCATTTAAACAACAAAAAAAACCAAACATACAATAACATACTATGAATTAGGTTGGAACCGCTGTACAGGTCTTCTCGTTCTGCTCGATCTTCGAAGCGTTGTCGGCGGCGTGGACGGCTCGTGGCTTGATGTCGACGTCGATGTCGCTGAATCCATGGGTGCTGACGCATCGCTCGCGATCGCTTGCTCGGAATTCTCATCAGCTGCACTGCCATTCCTCTGTAGAGTGTCGTCTTCTGTCAAAACATCTAAGAGTATCTTCAATGCTTCGGACTGTTGTTGGAGTTGCTGGTGTACGGCGAGCTGTTCACTGTCGCTTCGATGTCGTAGCTGATTTGCGTGCTTCTTGCAGATTTCATTGCCAACCATTACTTCGTAGTTGACAGGTCCTATACGTTTCAACACGGTTCCCTTCATTCAGTGAAAGTGGGGTGGCTTCCGCTGCTTAGCGTACACTAAGTCGCCAACTTCGAAGTGTTTCCAAACGACTCCATGTTTCGTATCAAATTTTTCTTCCATGCGTTCTCTTCTTCTTCGTGCGACTGGATCTTCGGCATCTTCTGACATTGGTAGTAACAGGCTTAGTCTTGTACGCAAGTTTCTGCCCAAAAACAATTCTGCTGGTGTCTTGTCGTTCAAGTTCGTGTTTGGTGTTGTCGTATACGCTTGTAATACCACATTTATAGTCTCTTCTGTTGGCCTCTCCTCCCCCTCTAGTTTCTTGATCCCGCGTTTGTATCAACGAAACGCTCTGCCTGTCCGTTCGAGAGGGTGGTATAGAGCAGTCCTTATGTGTATGATTCCATCTTCGTCACACATCTTCTTGAACAAGTCCGACGTGAACTGAGTACCGTTGTCGCGCCTTCACCGTTTTCGAAGCCGAGATATTGCTCATCTCAATCATTTCAGGCCATTTGCTGCAGGCATCTACCACGCCCAAGTAGAAAACTCCTTGCATAGGTCCAGCGAAGTCGATGTGTATCCTCTGCCACACTCGAGTCGCGGATGGCTATGCTTCTAATAGTACTTTCGTCGGATTTTTGGCTAATTCCTGATAATTCGTACATTTTCGTACCAAGTCTTCGCAATCTTTGTTAATATTCGGCCAGTAGACGTAACTTCGAGCTAATTTCTTCATCCTTACAATCCCTGGATGACCACTATACAGTTCTCTTAGAACATTTTTTCGAAGCTCCTTGGGTATCACAACCTTTTCGGCTGACATCAGACATTGCTCCACGACTGACAATGTGTCTCTTCGATTTCGAAAATGTGCCAACTCCCCATCCACGTCTGATCATTCTCCTTTCTTCTGTCAGTATTCTTCTTAGCACTGGATCCTACTTCGTATAGGACTGCACATCTGATACCGTCACTGGCAATTTCCTTATGCAGTTCTTCAATATGAAGTTCACGTCGTTCTCAACGGCAGCTATCACGACGTCTTCTTCGTTATTCTGACTCTTCTTCATCAACCGTGACAAGCCATCTGCTTGTCCAAACTTCGTAGTCTTGACATACTCTATGTCAAATCATATCCAAGCAGTATTGTAGCCCATCTCATAAGTCGGTTAGCGGAGTAGACTGGAACTCCTTTCTTATCACCGAAGATGGCTAGCAATGGTTGATGGTCCGTCAGAAGTAAAAACTTTCGTTCAAATATGTACTTCAGGAATTTCTTGATTGCCTCCATCGGCATACCTTTGCGATATCACACAACCGATACCATAGCCACTAGCGTCCGCTGCCACGACTATCTTCTGCCTTGGATCATAGTGAGCAAAGTTTAGCTCACTCGACAAAGTCTCCTTGAGCTTTTCGAACGCTTCTTGATGTGTTCGTGTCCATTCCCACTTCGCATCTTTCTTGAGCATTGCGCCCAATGGCCCACGAAGATCCTTAATCTTTGGCATGAACGCCGCATAGTACGTTATCATGTCAAGAAAAGCTCTCATTTGGTTCGCATTCTTCGCTCATCCATATTCTTCGGTTCGTCCATATTCTTGATTGCTTCAATCTTCTCTGAGTTCGGTCTTCTGCCGTTTCGATTTACTATAAAGGCAAGATATCCTTTCTCTGGCTTAGCGAAAGAACACTTCTCTAGACGAATCCTGAATCCATATTCGGCTATCCTTGCAAAAACAGCAAGTAGATTCTCCACCTTTCTTCTTCGGTTCTTCCACAGACCAAGATGTCGTCTAGGTAGGTTGCTACCCCTCGCAGACCATTCACCATCTTGTTCATGATTTGCTGGAAGATCTCTGATGCTGTCTTTATTCCAAAAGACAGTCTATTGTATTGGTACAATCCTCCATGCGTGTTTATCACAACCATTTTCTTCGCTTCTTCTGACAACTCGATCTGCAGATAGGCGTCCTACAGATCTATCTGCGAAAACACTGTACCTCCGTTGAAAGATGCGAATATATCCTCCGGCAATGGCAACGGGTAATCATACGACTCCAGCGCTTTGTTGAGTCCAGTGAGAAGTCAGCACACACTTTTAACTTCCCATTCGCTTTCCTGACACATACGATGGGAGCTGCCCATTCGCTATGCGTCACTGGACTTATGACCTTCAGTTCCCATAGCCTGTCGAGCTCCTTTTCGACAGCTTCGACCGCAGCATAGCGGACAGGCCTGCAAGGCTTGAACACTGGGCGAACGTCCTCGTCAACTATGTGTGCTTTCTCCTTCGTGCACAATCCCAATCCTTCTTTGCAGACCTCCGGGTAAGCTTCTTTCAGCTTCTGAGCGATAACTTCGTGTTGTCCCAACTTTACTTCAGCAGCCATCCTGCTCAAGTGATACGACATTTCTTCGTTTTTCTGAATCCATTCCAGTCCTAGCAATGAGTTGTGGGGCGTCACATATGCGTAGCCTTCGCTCCTAGAATTTTTGATCTCGTAATTGCACCATAGCTTTCCATGAACCTTCATGTAGCCTCCACTGGCATTCTTGACGACCACGTTCGTGTTCTCTAGCCGAGGAGCACCCATGCTCCTCCATATTGATTCGTTTAACAGTGTGACGTCTGATCCAGTATCCAACAGAAGGCTAACTAAATGATTATTCACTTTTGCTTCGATATACATACTTGTCGAGTTGACATCCACCATCGCATTCGCAATCTTCGCTATGCCGTGCACATGACGTTTTGGTTTCGTCCAACTTGTGTTCTTACTGGTGTCGCTGCTTTCTGTGGATTCTTCGTTTTGAATCTTGCTGAACAAGTGCTTTCTTCTCCGCCACTTGTTCGCAATACTTCTCCTTGTGACCTGTCTTCTTGCACTTCTTACAAAACCACTGCTTCACCTTGCATTCCCTGGCAAAGTGAGCTTTACCACAGTTCCAGCACTCCAGCTTCGTGGGTTCCTCCTTGCTTGTTGCTACGACAATCTTCGCGAAACCAGCTACAGTCTCGCTGTCTTTCTTGAGACTGAGGAAGTTTTCGCACTCCAAGTACAATTGGTGTAGCGACATTTTTCGTCCAGC